CTCCTTGCTGTGATTTTCCTTCAACAATGCGCACTTCCACAACTTTTCGCAATGTCACGTTGGAGAGTGTTGGCCAATCTCCTCTTTTTCTCTGTTATTTCTCCTCTCGTAGCTTTTCGCAGGCAGTTGTGAATTTCAGCAACTGCTTTCGTTTGGTTTGGGTGGGAGTCTAAGTGCGACTCTTCATTTTCAACCTTTCGTTTTGGGCGGGAGGATGCTTACTAAAGGTGCTAACCTTCTGTAAGTTGCCGTTACCCCAAATACGTCTATAAATTTTTTTTTCACTTCTCACTTACTAAAATGACATCGTTTTGGGGTTGCTGAAAGCCTTCTGACGTGGTTCATTTCTCACATTTCGTTTCTGTTAGTGAGATGACCGCTCGGGAACGGACTCGGGGCACGGACGGTTGCACCTGCAACCGTCCCTGCCAATTTTGGTTATTATCAACTGGCCGTAACTTTCTTTGTATATCGTGTAACTTTTTTTTCACAGGATGTATTTTCACAACAGATAGTGGTAGGTCCCATACTTGGTGCGGAAATCGAGTTACATGATGTAATCTCAGCCGCACAAAATTTTGATGGCAAATCTTAGCCCTTAATAGTATGACCGTCCCTGCCCCAAATCCCTCGGGAACGGTCAATCTGATGACCGTTCCCGCCCCAAATCCATATAGGCATTGTGGAAAAGGGTATTTGAATTTCAGAACCATTATTCTATAGAACAACACGTAAAAGGCTTTTTTTCAGGTTTTTGTTTGGTCTGTAACAGGTTCGAAACTGTACAATAAAAAAATCAACTCAAAAAATTAAAAATTTGCATATAGTGGTAAGTAGGGTCGTTTCCATAGGGATTTGAGAAATTTGCTTCTTTTTAGAGTGATACTTATGGGGGGATTTTTGGAAAATTAGAAAATAACTAATTAATTAACTACGAAAACAATTCACAAAAATAAACATGAATTAATCAATAATAGATATAACTCTAGCCAAAAGTGTAACTTTTCAGATAGTATTCACATAACTGACCATTAATGTAAAGATTGTTCAATTATTCATTAATGGATTGGTTATAACCATCAACAAACTCTGATAGTCAATTTTTTCTTACTTTTTTGATAGTCAAGATACGACCGTTAACTATTTTTTTAACCAAGAAATAACCCTAGGTACGACCATAGGATTTAATTTTCTGACTGCATTAAAAACTAGAAAAATCTAACTCTAATCAACAAACATGCTACGAGTGTTTGTTTAATTAAATCATACGTTTCTCTAACATAGAACCAATTACGTTAGTTGCCATTAATATTAACCAATCAAATAATTATGGATTTAATTGATTAATACAGCAGTAGATTATTAGGTTAATTCAAATATCGGTCCTCTGAAATTCAAATAACAAAATAATCATAAAAAGTTAAATCAAAAAACGTATAAATTTCAATGAATTAAAAGAAAAAATTAAAAATCAATTCGATGTCACAGATATTTAGAACCGCATAATCAAATTGACTTTTGACTAGAAAAGAAAATTTAATTGCTTATCATTGAGAAAAATCCCAACGCGAATTATGGTGAATCTCAATGAACATGCGGCCACGAAGAAAAGCAAAGAGCAAAGGTTCGTCGTTTTCTTTTTCCTGAGCAAAGAGACGCGATGTTATCACTTATCACTAATAAAGCTGACTCTATGGTCCTAACTTTTCTCCTAGTATGTAGCTATTTAGATAAAGTCAACTTCCTAATTGGAAAAGAAAAACTTAAAAAGATAATTTCCTTGTTTTCTAATTACATACTCTAACTAATAAATACAGAAATCTTCTTAATCTTGAGTTAAGGTCCGTTCAGAATTTGACTCAAATATATAAATTTGAGAAGGAATTTTTAGCAACAAGTCTCCACGTATCTTCCCACTACCAATTCCATTTTTCTAGCATTTCACATTTAATTTAATTTACAAAATATATTCCTCTCAACTTCCACATCTACTCTTTATATTTGAAATTGTTGGTTACTTTTTAAAATCATGTCATTTCAAATTGTATCGATATAAATTTGAGAAGGGATTTTTAGCAACAAGCCTCCACGTATCTTCCCACTACCAATTCCATTTTTCTAGCATTTCACATTTAATTTAATTCATAAAATATATTCCTCTTAACTTCTACATCTACTCTTCACATTTGAAATTGTTGGTTATTTTTTTAAAATCATTTCATTTCAAATTGTTGGTTAATGTGTATGTTATCCTATTTGAACTTCAACCCATCACGTTTCCGATTGTCTTGCGTTATTTATGATTTTACAACAATTAAAACTTCTATATGACCATAAAAAGAGATAACAAATATAACATCCTTTCATGCTTTCTTATTAATTTAAATAAGTAAGATTATTTACACTCCATTTTTGTTATTCACCCTTCAATAATCATTTTGATCATATAATTTTCATTAATTAGACTATATGATAAAACAAATGGTGGAATTGTAAATAATAAAAAATGGAGTGCAAATAACATTTTCTTTAGTAAGAAGTGACTTCCATGCCTTTCTAATTTAAAAAGGTAGTGGCTTCGCTTATATAGGAATTTGGTTTGAAATTTAATAGTGGGAGGGTAAATAAAAAGAAAACATTGCCAAACTTAGTAAAAGTAAAAAAGTAAATGATAATATTTTATCTTTTAACTTATTAATCCTAAGTAAAATGGCAAAATTAAATAGCAAACAAAAAGGAACTAATGTCGTGGATTTAAAAAATCAAGAATGATACCATTCATGAAATCCAAATTATGAAATCACTAAATAAAAAACAAAGTACTACTAGCCTTTTAGCTTGGAATTTTTTTTTGAAATATTCATTTTTGATAAAAAAAAATAATGATAATAACAACACCAATTCTACCAAAAATTTTTAAAAAAAGTGACATTATAGCTTAAGAGAAAGATATAAAACATTCAACCCTAAAATACTACTTAATTTGTATATATTTGGCCCAAATTTGACATTAGATTTGAATAAGAGTGCAAAACCCAAACACTAAGGATAAGTTTTGGTATCATTAATTATTTTATGTATTCTTATTGCTGTCTTCATATGTAAATATGTATTTGCTATGTTAAATATATATATATATATATATATATATATATTGATTGTAGTACTTGAGGATATTATAGTTATTATCAGTTTTTCATTTCCATTTTTAGATACTAATAATTGCAACCATTGTAATTAATTTTCAATTTTATATTTTCATTATGATAGGTAAAGTTAAATATATTGGGTCACAGAGATATGAATTTAGAGATTAGGTAAAGGGGGAGGAGAGAGGGAAGAAAATGGTGAGGAGTTGAAAAATAGCAAGAAAGGTTGAAGAAAAAATACGGGTTATAAGGATAGACGGAGAAGGGAGAGAAGAAAAAAGGAGATTGCAGGGATATGACAGAGATGACAAAAAAAAAAAAAAAATAGAGAGAGCAGTACCATAATAGAAGATATGAAAGTCGTATGAGGCATTGATGACTAGCTGGCGTACAAGAGAAGAGGGAAATGATAGTAATTTTTAATAACTTTGAGAATTCTAAAAACACATATTACAGAGATTTTTTTTTAAAATATACGTTAAAGTTTATGAAAAATGCTAATATAAATGCAGTCAACAATTTTAAGGGCACAATATAGGAGAAAGGTTTTTTTTCTAAAAATAGAAGAAAATAAATTGGTTATAATTTATTTTTTTATATTATAAGTTTTGATATATGGGTCTAACATAATATGTTTTGTCGGATATTGATAAATTGACCTTTTTTTAAAAAAACTCTTCTCACCTTACCACCCAACCTAACATCTCCTTAAATGCGTTAACAATTCTTTTATCATATAAATCATTATAGATTAAATTTTTTTTCAAAATATTAAGCATACGCTTCTTTAAAATTTTTAGTCTATATATATATATTTATTATTTTGTACCACAATATATAAATATATACAATATTAATTTAATTTGAAATATAACCCGTGCTAAATTTTTTTTCAAAATATTAAGGATACGCTTCTTTAAAATTTTTAGTCTATATATATATATTTATTATTTTATACCATAATATATAAATATATACAATATTAGTTTAATTTGAAATATAACCCGTGCATAGCACGGGTCAAAATACTAGTTTGACTCAAATTAGGGAACTTCTACTTGCAGGAAAATTCCAAGTCTCTTGGACTTGACAGCAGGTCTTGACTGTGCTTACATCAAACTGGTCCGAAGCCATCTGAAAAATTGCCCATTTAATCACTTTTTGCTCCACTTTTCTACAATTAATGTCATTAACCAAATATAAGTAGAAACTACCAATTAATACAACATTTGATCAAAAATCAAGGGGAAAATATTTAAAAAATTACTAACAAAAAACACCCTTTCAGTCCCTAGCAATTGCAACATTTTTTTTTATTTATTTGATTATTTGTTTATTTCTTTGGCCTTTTCCTTTTGATCTTTTTCCCTTAAATGCGAACGCCTTAGGTATTTCAATATGCCATTGATTCAATTTCGCAACTTCCTTTCAGAGTGTAGTATTACTTGTGCAAACTTAATGTATTGCTTTCTTTGGATCGCATTGAATTAGAATCTCAGTGATTGACATTTGACACAAAATCGTAGTTTACGCATGCAATAGCTAAATAACTTAAAATAACTTTAACTTTTTTATTACTCATTTTAAGCGAAAATAAAAACTGTACGTGCCAATTATTTAAACCATATGGTGAAGATTTTTTTTTTTAGTTAAAGCAAAATATTTTATTTTGTTCTGGGACAGAAGAAAGTTTTTATTTAGCAGGCCCATAATTATAAAGCTAAATGAAAAGTTACCTGTTCAAACCTCACTAACAATGCACAAAAAATCCAGGGAAGCTGACGGACATATTGTAAAGTGTCGCAATTCATAATCGTGAATGAGTGATAATTCTAAAGCATTAATACTGAATTCACCTTCAATTCAATTTCAATGATCTTATCCAAAGCCTAATCGAAAATTTCCACAAGCACAAATTCCACTTTTAATAGATCCAAAAATTCTTTTACAAAATAATCCACAAGTCCCATTAACAAAAAAACAGAAAAGGCAGAAAGTTATCAATCCAAGATCCCAGCCTGCTGGTAGCTTTCGACAGAGTCAACAAGAGTTTCTTCCACTGGCCTATATCTCCAGCCCAGCCTCTGCAATTTTCCTGAGCTAACATTTCCTCGGCCTTGATCATCCTTCACCTCTATAAATCTGCGAATAAATGAACTATTTGAAGAATATATGCAGACAACATAAATAGTTCTTGTAGAGACTCTTAGATGCCACATTTATGGAAATCAAGATGGACATGAACCAAAAAAAAAAAAAAAAAAGAATCAGGACAAACTGGGAGTCAGAAAAATCAGACAATTTCAAAGATAGTAATCCACCTCTTAGGGTACTTATAGTTGGGATAGTTTTTCCTCAGAATTTCCACTGTATCCTTTGTCGTAGTGAGGTGAGATGAACATATGTACCGCCCCTCAGCTTCAGGTCTACCGTAAACCAAAAGCAGTGCTTCAGCCACATCACGCACATCTACCATATCCCGGAATTTGTTTTCTATTTCTTCATATCCTTCTGTGCAGCCAGGGAGCGGAAAAAAAGAGCAGTTTAATCTCAAAAAATTATGTTATCTAAGCTAATCTCTGAGTTCTTTAATGCATATATGAAAAATACAATTCCTTTGATAAATCGTACGGCAATAAATTCATGCGACTTTTGAACTGCAAAGGACCTACAAGTCACAACATTAAGCTTTTGTATCTTTAACTACGGCTCAAAGCAATCATGCAAACGGTTGAAAGATGCAACCTCCTCAGATGCTATGCCTACCATCTGTCTCACCTTCCATTAGGTTAAACTCACAATTTCACATCAATAAAATTTGAATAGCTTGTGTATATGTCTGGAAAGATTACAGTGGCATTAAAAAAAAAAAAATTTAGCATCATTGGTAGTTTAACTTTCCCTGCCATCAAGCAGAAAATTGAATTTCATTCCCACAGTAAAAAACAGACACCACAATCTTAAGTTTTTTATATCACTTTGCAAATCTTAAGATCATTGTCAAAATCATAGACTATCAGAATGGCAGACAGCGTATGGGTTTAGAATCTGAAAACGTTTCAGCTGGCTTGAAGATTCAAAAACAAATGCCAAAAAGACAGCAAAGCAGTTATCTCCATGAATATAGTTTCATTCCTAGAAGGTCAACCACAATCAGATAGATGGATTTTGCAAACTTTATTGGGCATCAATTCATTGTGCATCATGTAAGTAACACTGGGAGCCAGAAGCGTAAAAATTGATGGTTTACTTGGAAAAATAATTAATTCATCTGAGCTCCACAGAGACATATATGCTCACATAGGCACAAACCAATATCTAAGAGAAACCTGTATCCTTTATGACCACTTCCACGCAGAATGTGAAAGAAAGAAAAATAATATGTAAGACAATGGAATAAGTTCTCTAACTGACTACAAGCACTAATAAATCACCTTTCAACAGCTTTATAAGAGCCAGACTGCTAGCATTCACATCATGCTGAAGCATGGGGCCGAGAACAAAGGATGGGCATACAGTTAAAACATCAAGGCCAGTTTCTTTTGCATATTGTAAAGCCTCACTTTCAGCAACCGTCTTGGAGTAACAATACCAGTTCTGAAGAAATATTAGTACTAGATCGTCAGCGAAAAACAGCTAGTAGTTGCAAAAATCTAATTTTTCAGCAATCTTAGAAACTGTATGAATAAGACAGTGAATTTTCTGCACAACAACAAAACTACAGTGCAACTACAAAAAGTCAAATTATATAGATGCATACATTTGTTGTCTTGCAGTATTCCCCGTCTGACCAACACGTCTCATCTATAATTTCACCTTTATGCCGATTAGGACTCACAACAACAGCAGCAACAGAGGAAACAGCTACAACGCGCTTGACATTTGCTTCAGAACAAGCCTTCAGTACATTAAGGGTACCCTTTACAGCCGGCTCAACAAGTTCAACCTGCAACAAATCATCATGTTGGCAGACGTACTAGCACTCAACTCAACTCTACATGCTCAATTGCTTGTATTTGCATAAAATATATCCAGATAGACAACTAAGTAGTGTCAGTTAACCTGACATCTTTAGAGCGAATGAGTACAAAGTTAAAGACTCATGACTGCTTATGCTAGTGATTAACTTGGTTACCAGCATCAGTTATTATTATATGCATTTATTCACTCATTTCAACATTTGAAAATTCCCTCCACAAATAGATAGAAAGGCAAAGAGCCCCAGTGACTTCATAAGTTTGTACAAAAGCTTTAACAAGATCCTATTTTGAACTATACACAACTTTAGCTCATGTTTGGCAAAACGCAAAGAAATATAATCTGTAATGACAATAGCTGTCTCCCATAAACAAAAGATCTGTTAAAAATGTTATTCTGGGGAAACCAAAAGAAGGAAATATCATAGCAATTGAAAAGATTGAAAATGGTCTTGCCTCAGGATTGGGAACAGAGCCTGAAGGAACAGGACTAGCTACATGAAATACGCCATCACAGCCCCTGATGGCTGCAGAAATGGAGTTGTAATCCAGCAAATCAGCCTTAAAGAGTTTCAAATTCTCAGCTGCTTTGTCAAGTTTCTTCAGATGAACATATTTCTCATCCTCTACAAAAAATTTACAGCAATGCCCACATCATCAAATAACGAAGCAGACAATTCACAGCAGGTGCTATTCTATATTTCCTCAATTAAACATATTTCTCATCCTTCAAAACACATTTACAGCAACCCACTGCATCAAATAGGAAACAGCCAATTGACAGCAGGCAAAAAATCAATTATTGTATTAAACGGAAAGAAACAAATTATTAAAAAAAAAAACCAAACATAAAAGAAAAAACCGAGGAGCAAATTAGGAAGGAAGGGATAAGAGGATGAAATACCTACCGGGATTTCTGAGGGTGGCATGAACAGTATAATGGCGGGAAAGGAGTAGCTTGACTAACCAAGATCCCAGGTATCCCCCTGCTCCTGTAACACATACTGTCCTGGCCTTCTCAGCCTCCCACGCTGCCATGTCTGATTGCTTACTTGTAGCAGTAGTGGGATTAGTATTTTAGTACCAGATTCACTATAGATTGATCAAGAAGGTGGATAAAGTTTTATTCTTTTCTTTATTATGAGTATTAGTTCTTTTTTGGTTGGATAAAGTAGCGATTTCGCCGATTCTTAAGGAGGACGATTGGAAGAGAGGGCGGTTGGAGTAGGAGGAGGAGGACGGTGACGGTGACGGTGACGGTGACGGTGGCGGTGGCGGTGGCGGTGGCGGTGGGATTTTGAATGGATGAGTACTGTATGTAGTAGCTGGCGGATTCCAGTGGTTTCTCTCAATAGTCAATGGTAAGCTACCAAGCAAAATAAGCTAATGAGGGACAATTGCACTTTACACCCTTTTAATTATACCGGATTCTCATTTTGATCACTATACTTTAAAACATAATATTTTTGTCTCTAAAATACAAAATTTGTCTATTTGAATAAAAATTATAAAATCGTCGACAGAATGAGAAAGATTTTACATTTTATAAATTAAAGTGGAACATATTTTATATTTTAAAAACTAAAGTATGATAGATTTTATATTTTAATTACTAAAATGTACTTTTTTTTAATTTAAAAAAATACGATGCAAATATGTATAGTTAAACGTATGAAAGAGAAATTAATACAGTAATGTTTGGAGGCCGTTTATAGTTTTTTTTTTAGTAAATATTTTCTTGAAACATTTCATATTTTCTTTTTATCTCACATAATTATGTTGTTATAATACATTTTTCTACAAAAATTTCATAATATTGCAATCCAAATGGGAAATTATTTGAACATAAGCGTAAAATTTTATATTGGGGACATTCTCTACTTTTCATGTGCTTATCAAGTACTGTTAGGAGAAGAAAGCTGCTCGCCAATGAAATGTCCTTAAGCAATCCTATTTGTTAACCTATTGCAAAATTGTATCAAATAAAATTTGGTATAGAAGGATAAAATTATGAGGATGTAAAACTTATTTTGATGGAAATATATTTATTTCATAGTTTTTTTATCAAGCTGCAAAACAATTAAGTTTCATAAAGCTCTAAGATAAGAGGGATTTCCTTTTGAAGTTTTATCACTAGAGACATAATTATGCTAGCACTTATACTACAGTGAGTGAATGTACACCTATTATTAAATATTTTGATTTAGAAATAATGTATAAGAACAAAACACAAATTATATCATAAGAACTAAACACAAAAATAATAATAGCACAAGTGTTAAAAACATTATTGTAAAAAATGCTATGTGCAGTCAAGCACAAATGACCAAGTGATCTTTCACATTGGTAGATGCACTCAAAAGAGGTAACTGGACAAAGTAAATCATGCACTCAATTTTGTGCAGCTTTAATGTATAATTCTTGAACATTCACATATGGAATATATTGAACATTCATAGAAATATTCTTAAACACTACTATCATGGTTAGAATATTTTTTCTTTTCATCAATTTTTGCAAGTAATTTATTGACAATCATTTCAAAAGGTAACATACGTAACATTCAACGTACATATTTTTGTGTTTGTATTATTAAAAGCGTTGGCCATTTTTTCGTTTGGATTGCTTTTTTTTTTTTATCAAAATTTTTTTTACATTTTTCATGAATACATTTTCTAATAACATTTTTATCTCACATATATTAAATCGCTATAACACATTTTTTTTAATATAAAACTCCAAAAAATAACAATCCAAACGGGCTAATTTTTGGTGGTTGCACGACATTTATAATTTACATATGCTTTCTCCACTTTGACAATTCATACATTCTCAAATCCACTTTGAATTGACTATTACCAAATTAACATGAAGAATAAATGACAAATTACATGAATGAACTCATGTACCATTTCTCACAAAGGATAGCGTTTCACATTTATTCACTGGTAATTTAAATACAATACAACATTGCCTTGGCTTAGATGCTAACTAAATTCTTCTCCCTGAAGCTTTCAATCGTATCCTTTAAGCTGACCTCCAAAGGAATAAATTGAACTCCTAAATTCTTTGCCTTCTCGTTGGATACTGTGTGGGCCGGATAAAAAAGGTTGCTATTGTCCGACAATCTGTAGTATGTTAAGAAAATTCAGAAAGGACAAGTAAATAAAGCATAGTTGAAAAGAAAATGCTAATGTAAAATTAAACTCCACAAAATTTGCAGGAGACAGTAATGCTTCACAAGCATTTTGCCTTTACACAAAATTTCTGTCATATATGGTAAGAAAATTTAGTTTAAAACTTTTGTTACAATCCATTATATCAAAGGGCGAATTGCATGGATTAATGGAAGGGATGTATTTATATAATTAACTTTTCAACTTTCCATATGAACTAAAACTAGAAAAAGACAAAATCAGAAAATGCTGGCTGAGACAAAACCTGGCAAACAGAATCTTAGGTGACCAGAATCAAATTCATTTCCATCACCTAAAACTCAATTATCTATAATTTGCAGAGGAAACCAATTTGGAGATCCTTCTCCCAAGAAGAACAGTAGAAACAAATTTCAAATTTGAGAAAGAGCTCATTTGATGAGAACATGAGACAAAAGATGCAGAAAATTCTGGATTTGATTCTGGATTTGATGTATGTACTTTGTTAAATACAAACAAAAATTATGAGATACATCATGAAGGTGCATATTGCCATCAACAACAGCCTATAAGGACATATACTGACAAAATTGACAAGGAAAAAGAGACTTACTTATCCAGAAATTTATGAGCAGGGTAATGTCCACGCAAAATGTTGATGACCTGAGAGGCATGTGCTGATCTCCCAACCAGACAATATCTTCCACTTGCAGAAGGGATTTCAAGGGCAAGAATATGCGCATAGGCAACATCTCTAACATCAACCCATCTAAGAGTTGCATTAGGAAATGCTCCAGCCCCTGCATTAAGTAGATAAGTTAATGAGATCTTTAAGCATATATACTATTGTCATTTCACCTCTCCTCTAGATAGGCAAACAAAAGAAATTTCCAATTTTAAGTTCCAGAAGATTTGAATTAGCAATCACTTCTTGAAATGAAAGTCCTATCATCACGGTACAAGGTGGCCATTTGACTCCAAAGACTCCTTGTCAATGGGAAAAGTAATAAAACAAGCTGATTAGCAAGTAGTCTTAAGACAGGCAGTGACAACACAGAATGAATTTTTCCTGTCGGTGCCCTCCCAAAAAATTCCTCAAGGAAGAAAAAGTTATAACATCTTCCACCCCAAAAAGTGTTGTTCTTCCTGAAATTTTCATAGAATCTCAATGTCACAAAGAATAGAAGATGCAAGCAACATGAATGTCAGAAAAATGGTTGGACAGCAAAGCTTTTTGGCATGACCAGCTGATAGACCAGATAGCTTGATATATCAGTTCACATTTCTATCAATGTCTGTCAATTAAGTGCTCCATTACAATAATAAGCTAGCAGAACCTTACAATTTTATTAGTGTCATAGATACTTTGTTGTATGATAACAGAGACATTTTAGTTCATGATAAAGCTATAACAAAACACAGATGAACATCATCTAATACAGCTCACGACATACCATTCACTAGGTTGAGAATGAATTCTGTGCTGAGATTAATAGATGGCTGCAAGACTGGACCAACTACGAATCCTGGATGAATTGTGATTATCTCAATGCCATGCTCCTTTGCGAATTTCCATGCAGCATCCTCTGCCAAGGTTTTTGAAAGTGCATACCAAGACTACACCATAAAAATTGTTAAAAAGTTGGTTGCTTTGTAGCCAAAAATACATAGTTTTCAGACTCAATTAAGAAGTAATATTTAAATTTTTTAGAAAATGGAAAAACCTGTTTCCATCATTTGGAGCTACTACTTATGCGGCCATAAAGCACAAATTGAAAGCATGCATATTGGAGAAGCTATTTTACAAATTATTAAGTAGATTCTCAAGGATGCTAAGAATGGTATTGATTTTTCCTTTTAAGACTCACCAATGTACTTTAATTTAATTATGTGCAAGGGATGATGCAAAGCACCAGTGTTAACATACTCCTGATAGTATGATCTCTTCATCCACGAGTCGACACAAAATGACAAAGGTATTTGACTTGTGACTGATCAAGCCATATTCATGACTTTCTAGCAGAAGTTCCTTGACATTTGACCAAGCAAACATTGATCATCTTGCAATGCCTTTCCAGACAATAATGTGGAACTTGATTCTACAGCTTCATTTAGGAGATGCGCCGTTGACTATTCCATACTTTATTATCTCTTTCCAATTAAAGCTAAGCTGTTACTTAAAGGAAGAAAAGAAAGAGGATCCACCTTTCTGGCCTGCCCTTTAATCAAAGGATTCTATCAATTACATTGCCCCAAAAAACATCCTTCTTTCCTATAAAAGTACCATGAAGCCATGAAGATCCTATATTAATTTTCCCCATACTTGGACTAAGCTCCTCAGACTTTGTCCAATAACAAGTTGAAACTACAGAAATCTAGCATTCCATATATACATAATTTAACAGGTAGAAATAGATGATAACATACCTTCTGCTCCTCACAGTATGATGGATCAGAAAACCAACTTTCATCAACGACCACGTTCTCCTTTAATTCTCTATTGTTTGAAACTGCAGCCATAGAAGATGTTATAACAACTTTTTTTATAGATGAAACTTTTTCACATGACCGTAGCACATTGACTGTTCCTCTGACTGCAGGTTCCAGTAGTTCTGCCTAGAAAATGAAACAAAGACAAAAAACGAAGTCATTACTGGGCAACAAATAAGCCTATGCTTGCATCCTGCACAATCATGTTGGTATTCTGATTTTAGATTTTACTATAAATTCTGTACCCTTTACCAGACCATGTCTCCACCACAGTAACAACTAAAAGCTCAAACAAGTCGCAGAACTGGTTCCCTAGAAGTTTCAAACATCAGCTAGCTAAGTACAGTGAAATCATGGCTTGAAAAACACAGAGAGAGAAAATAGAAAAGGTGTTGCTCCTACAACTCCTGCAAAGAGATTTTAGCGAAAAAATAAACAGCGAGCAATATAGGGTTACTATCAAACTTATTTGGAATTTTCTTTTGATGTCTACGAGTCAATGGACCATGAACTAGCTAGATAGCCTTGTTCATTAAAATAACTAAAATCAAACTTCTAGTGAGTTACTTAAAGGGGAGCCCCACAAACGCAATTAGAGAAATGAACAAGGATAGGCACACTACGTAAAACCATAAGGCACAATCATTAGCAGATATGAATCAATTAACAAAGGAAGATGCATTCAATCTGCAGATGCTCAAATG